ATCCTCCTTAACATCTTCCATCAAAGGAACCCGTATTATGTCTTCAACATCTACATAGTAAAATAGTTCCTTTAGAATCCTAATGCCCCATTGTTTAATATTAGATAAAGTGTCAATGTCATTTTAACAAACTTCAATGGAGGTAAGTATAATTTTCCTTTCTTTTAGTCAAAAGTGTTATAGATGTGTTCTTTTAATATCTTAAGTATTAATCATATTGACACTTCAATGAATCATGATATTTTAGAAAATACTCCCTCCAGTCCTTTTTATGAGACATTTCACTTTTTTAGATTTATTAAATAATTAATGTATCTGATATCTAATACAGACTAGATACATTAATTTTTTAATGAATCTAAAAATGTGAAGTGTTCCTTATAAAAAGGATCGGAGGGAGTATTATTTATTATGAAAAATAAAATAAACCTAAAAATATAAATTAAATTTACCAAAATCAATCCAACAAATATAATAATTATACAAACCAACTCTATTTTCAAAGATGGTTTTGAGCTTTGAGTTTTTATTTTGAATTTTACTTTTATAACAAAATAAAAAAGTTGTCTGATAAAATGGTAATACATAGTTATAAGTTTTTATAAAAAAAATGTTGATAAAACCTATATCAATCGAGAAGTTCGTGATCCACACAAGTTTTAGATCAATATATATGGACCTTAGAAACTCAATTATGTCTTTGAGTAAATTTTAGAGATGTACTTTTGAATTCACCCTACTACATTTAGTAAATCACATAAAAAATGGTTTTTATGGAAATACAGTTCTAAATTATCCCTTGTTAGCATTTATTTATATAAAATGTGGTGAGTTCGGAAGTACATTTTCAGATTAACCTCTTGCAACAACTAGTCATATATAACATGTTATAACATAAGCCGTTCTGGAAATAATGTTTTAATTTGAAACAGAAAAATTTAGAAAACTGGAACAACCAATATTTATACAATTAATGTTGAATATACATTAAAATGTATCAAAATGTATTAAGTTCACATTGTTGACAATAACAATCCAATATTACATACAAAACATGAGTCACCGCCTAAATATAGAAAACGAGTCACCAATAATATACATTGTTAGATGAAAACTAAAATGCACCAAAATATGTGTCTCCACCTAAATCTATATCTATGGATGATTCCGTATTTGAATTTTTCTTATTTTATTCTCTTTCAGTCTCGCTCAACTTGGTAAATTCTTCCATCTTATCCAAAACATGAACAAAATGTAGTAATTTTGAAATCCACCCAATACACATAATGCGTCCTGTTATATTTTGAGGTGGGTTACTCCAAAGTAAAAAAAATGTTTTCGAGAAGCCCAATCTTGTCAGATCAATACACATCCTATTATATGCATTTTCCATAAGATGACACATTTCAGGGAAGCACGTATATTATTCCACTGGTGTTGAACCGCTAACACAAGGAATAACAGATTCATGAATTGCATCAAAATGCTATTTTTCCTATATACCATTGTGTATGATTCCTTATGTTCCTTCAACTCTTTGATAAGTTGTTGGCGGACAAATGTATGATTATTCTCTCTTTACCGAGCAAAGCTAAAACAACGTGATAAGCGCAGTTACTGTCACCCTTAACATCTTTGTGCATAAAAACCAACATCTCTTCCATGTGTTTGGTTTTTAGTTAAGGTGGTGAAGAAGATGGTTTGCTAACGCAAACACCTTTGAAAACACTTTTTTGATTTTTTTTTTTATTTTGAAGTTGGAGAATCCGAAAAATGTGGGTCAACATGTTCAAAATAGAATAGAGACCACATCGTTGAATTCTCACTTTGTGTTGGTTTGAGCTTCTTAGAAACACCCTTTGTGTTTTACCGGTTCTGAGTGTGATTTAAAATCTGTAGTTCCTCGATAAGAAATCTTTATCAACTTCTCTTTGATGTGCAATTTCATATTGTCACCATCTTTTAAAAATCTCTCTTAAATCACTTTCCATCCGGCCACAATAAATATATTCGATTCATCATCCTTCATCACACTATCATCATCAAACTATGGCCTTCTCTAGTGCGTGTATACCTCATTCATTCGTATGGGTCTATCAAGTTTCATCTTCTTTGAAATTAACCAAGCACAAGGAAGACCATAAGTCTTCCTAAGTGTACATTCACACTTTGAGCTATTTGAACCTACTTTCTTTTCTTGCTTGGCTTCATGATAAATAAAATTCAATCCCACTCGAGATATATTTTCCACTAACCGTGAATAAAGATTTCTATTTCTGAATTTATATTTTAGTACTATAATGTTGCGACCAAATGATGTTTGTATCTCGTTATGCCGATTTTGGATCATTTGGTTCACATAACCTCAATCTATACATAAACACCCTTACTAATTCCCAAATAATTCTTTAATTTAGCATGAGAAGATATGACTTTGTTAGTTGTTGTATATCTAAAGTATCTAACCCGATCGGTCTAACCACAAACAATCTTCTCATTCACATGGTCTAAAATTGTACTTTTACAATATTCAAGAAATTCAAAAATTTTCTCACATGCCTTCCTTATTAAATTTATTACAGATCTGACATTTAACTCCTTCGTATAAGAATTTATTATATCATTTCAAACATCCATTATGCTTTTCAATATCACACTAGATTTGACCATTTTCTCATCTTCACCCTTGATTTAATTGGTTCCAACCACAAGCTTAAGTCTACTTCTCACATTTTTTGTTATGTGATACTACAAAGTAATGCATATGATGTAGGAAACACTCTTGCAACCAAATTCATCATGAAACGCTGAGAATCATGAATACTGAAAATATAACAATTTAGCAGGCGTTGAGAATCGAACTCATGAAACGTCAACTTATATCACTACAATTATTTTTAAAACATGTGGTATAACAACGTTTAATTAAAAAATAAAAATATATATAGGCATCGGAATTTAGAGATATCACAACGGTCATTCAAAGGACCATAGCAATGGTGACATCGTTGTATGTACTTTTTGTAGTAGTGTCGATGTGGTATCGTGATCAGTGACAATAACCTTTGACATTTTTTCTTAGTCCTTCAACATAGTCCGACATACATCTAAAGTCCAAGTATCATTGTCTTCTTTTTCACTTTTCAAAAATGCAAACCCAACTAAAAAAGTCCTCTATCTAGAAGTAACACCAACAATTTTCCAAAGTAGAAGCATGTACTTGTTGGTCTTATATGTTGAATCAATAATTAGCACAATGGAAAATATGTTGAACAACTTGATGAAATCACGAAGATTCTAAAATATATCTCAAATAATTTCTCCATCCTTGCACACTATGTACCTAAATACATAATGATTATCATCCAAAAGCTTCAACATTTGATGCATTTCAATTCTTGGACCTCTTACCGCCTTGTTATTTCAGGAACAAACACTCTATACTTGCTTGATATTTGAGACATTTTAAGGTCTTTTCCGTTTCAAATTGCAAGTATGTTTTTGGGCTGCACCATGTTCAATGTCATGTCATAAACAAGATTATTCTGTTCAAGATTTAGGCGACATGAAATGGGATGATCAACTAACTTGTAACACAAGTCATGATTATGTATGTTACAAACCAGATTAAATGTCCATGTATTATTCGCCATAAGGTACCCGCACAACTTAAAATGACACTTCTCAAACGGGTGTCATCTCGTTTTAACTTTTGGATAAGTTTTGTGTACTTGCCACTTCCTTTGCATCTCATTATCATAAATGCTCCTCTTCTATCGAAAATATTATCTGACCTCTTGATTACAACACTAAATCCCAATTTTACAACATCCGTGCGGATCCATATGAGCATATGTTCACAAATAACAAACTCTTTCTTACTTGTAAATTTACCAACATCTAACTCGACATCAATTGATTTAACATTTGTAGACACAATAACTCTAGGGACACCGTCAGGGTGCCTCATATCTAAGGTCAATCGTAATAGAAAAAAATTTAAAACTCACCAAATTCAACATTATAATAATCCAAATATACACTGTCATATTACATTCAACAATAATCCAGAATTACACTTCTGGACACGACGTTCGTTTTTTCAAAACAAAAACCATATTTTGGCAAGTAATAAGAAGTACATGTCCATTACTTTAAATTTCAGCTTCTTTTACTCTTTTTGATGTGAAAAAATAAAAGAATGTTGTATTGAAGTAGAAAACATAATTGAGTATGAAAGGAGGTTTTGTTGGGATTTGAAGAAGAAATAGTGGTACGATCATGAGTGAAGAATATATGCAAGGTAATGTTTTATCCAATTTTCCGTTTGACAAATCTGGATCTGTACTTTTAAATTATTCACTGAGTTGTGAAATACATGCAAGGTGGTGGTGTTTTTTCAATTTTCCGCTTGGCAAATTCGAAACTGCATTTTTGAATTATTCAATGAGTTGTGAAATAAACAAAATCAGTGTAGAAGCCAATCTAAAGATATACTTCCGATCTAATTTTAAAAAAAATAAAAGTGTCTCATTTAAAACATATTTTGGTGTGCAATAAGAATGTGCAAAAAGATACATTTCTAAAAAAGTTGTTGCAGCAATTTCAAGTTTAATTAGGGTGACTCTACACCACTAAGGGGGTGAGAAGAGCAACCCCTCTTTTTTTTTTCCTTCTTCAGTTAGGCGAATGGAATTAAAAAGTATTCTTTTTAGATTGAGAAAACCTTTTGAGATGGGTAATAATCTAAATCATTTAAACTTAAAAAAAAAAAAAAGAATTCTTAGCAAAATATTTACAATGAATCCAATGATGTGCTTAAGTGTACTTAAAACTTTATTTGATATATTAATGTGAGTACTTATAATACAAGATCATGCATGTCCTGTCAGATACAATACAAAGCATAGGATTTCAGTGATATGAGAGTGTGCCTATTTATAACTTATTTATTAGTGGCCTCTAATCACATAATTTAAAGTACAATGACCCTAGTTTATTCATATTGAGCTAACAATCCCATCCTCCTCTGATGAATCAATAGACTCTATAATGTCTATATCGAGTTCTGCTGATTTTGAATTAACAAAGTTGCATTGTTTTCTAATTTCTCCTTGGCTCCCAGTTAACACACCAATATTGCCCATTTTGATTATTGCAGCCTTAAAGCTCTCAAAGAAAGCGCTTTGATTTGCACTGAATTTGTTGACAATGCTAATAGTATCTGCACCAGATGTTGAGAACAACTCTTGATCACTTTGGAGTAAGCCATTTTTAACCTGAAGATTCGAGTAATAGTTTTTGTCGAATTTATCAGAAGTCGTTGGATCAAAATTGGTAAGGTTCGTGCCAGGTCCACCGTTGGGACATATGGTGCGCAATTGTGTTAAGTACGTTGTGTTAAGAGATGGATCGGGTTTTCCAGTATTGCTGAAGTTGTATAATCGGCTAACGAATAACGAGCAATGAGCTCTTCCGAATGTATGAGCACCGGAGAGAGCAACTAGATCAGTAGTATTGAGTCCTTGAGCAGTAAATGCAGCTTTAAGTTGAACCAATGTGTTGAAAGGAGCTGGAAGATTTTGATTCGCAAGCGTGCGGTTTGCAGTTAAACTATCTCTTCTTCCTAAAGGAACTGTCCAACTAGGACCTTGTGCGAGAACAGAAGAAGCTTGAGCAGAAAGTGCAAGAATATCAGCACAAGAAACAGTGTTGGGACAAGCTTTTTCTATGGCTGTTTTGATCTGATTTACAACATCTAAGCCTCTTAAAGAATTGTTATTTGGAAATGCTTGTTGTTCGCTTACGATTGTAGCGGTGTTGTTCAGCAAAACCGATGCATCACAGCCCTGTTAAAATCATTGATCACACAGTAAATAATATAAACTTGAAATAGAAAAGCATAGTAATAAAAGAAACAATACGTAGACTAGATACTTGAACAAAGCAGTCATGAAAGTGAAGCCTGACGAGACTAGCAAGCATACGAGGATCAGTCTTAGAAACATTTGTTAGAATTTGGGTCACAATAGAGCTAACATTTGGACATGTTTTGCTGTAAAAAGATGGACTAAGCTGTGCTTCTATGGAGAATGGTAGTCCTCCAAGCACAAGCACAAGCACAGCACAGCACAGAGAAAGGGACTTCATTATTGGTGTGAGAGTTAATGTGCAAATAACTCTAAGCATTTATTTATAGACGCTGCAAATTGCTATGGTATTAAAGGTGACAAGTGAGAACATTACCCAGCAATAATAGTACTACTAGCTATATGTGTGGACCACATATAAGACAATCACCATCGAAGTTTCCTTTGTGGCTATATCAAATGGTTATGACTCAACAGAAACGTGGGTGGCACGAAATTTCTTTAAATTCAAAGGATCTCAATTTGCTTGTGTTAACTACCTTTTGATTACTTTTGTATATAGTTAGTTCCATAGAAACTACAAGGGAATAAAAGCGTGGAGAGAAATAAAGGAAGAAGGTTGTTGTTCGATAGTGAACATTTTATATTTATGAGTTAAAAGTTTAGTGTTTTGCTATTTTTTTAAACTTTTGTTTTGATAAAATTGTGTTAATCTTATTATGTTAAGACATAATAGTTTTTTTTGTTCACTATTTACACTTAACTTTTAATGTATGGATTAAAGTTAAGAAACTTCATAGTTTTTCCTCTTCATTCTCTTTCTTGCTCTCTTTCTTGCTGCATCATAAATTTTCCACTTCATTCTCTTTTCTGAAAATTTCTCCTCCTTTAATTAGCATACCTGATGGTCCACACATCGAGTGGCAACGCATGGTAAGACCATCTTTAACCTAGCTAAACCCCATAAATAGATAAAAATCTCAAAAACTAGGTAATATCTCTCAAGACAATTTTTAACCTAGCTAAACCCTATAAATAGATAAGAATCTCAAAAACTAGGCAATATCTCTCAAGACAACACACCTCCCAAGTCATTTAAAAATCATATCTCAGTATAATAATGAGTGATTTATTTGAAATAAAAAAGTATTCTAAAATAAATAATTTTTTTTTAATTTTTAATATATTTTTATCAATTTTATCCTTTAATTAATATTATTTTTCTCATTTCTAATATATAATAATGATATTTTAGTAAAAACTAGTAAGATACCCATACATTTGCATGGATAATAGTATGATACGCATATTTTTTCCAAAATATAATAAAAATGATATTAAAAAAATTAAAGTGTTCAATCAAAAAAATTATTATTTTTAAAAGATATAATAAATTAGTGTTTATAATTCATTCCATATATAAAAGTATTTGAATCAACAATATATTATTTTTTATATAAATATTTTTTGTTTTGATATTATTTACAAAAAATATTAGAATCAATAGTAAATTTTGTCTCATTATTATTTAATATTTTGATCAATAACTTCATGTTCCCGTTATAATAGTTTTATTTTTGTGTTTTAATAAAATTGTTCTCGTTTATAATAATAATATTTTCTATTAATTTTTTTCACATATTTAAAAAAATGATCGGTACATTTATATTATTCATTCTTTGGAACAATTAAAGTTATTCTCGTTTATAAATAATGATATTTTCTCCATATATATTAATAAATTAATCAAAAATGTATTTAATCATGTATATAAATATTAATTTTGTTTCCACATTACTTATATATTTGAATCTATATAAAATGTTTAAATCAACAAAGTATTTTTTTTTCGTAAGTAAATATTATTTTGTTCAATGACATATTTTTATTTATATTATATTATTTATTTTAATTACAAATACTAATTTTATGCAACATCTATTGATTTTTCCCAGTCAATAGATTAACTTTGAAAATTATTTAGTATGGTTCAAAAATGAAATAACTTTTTCAATGCATGATTAAAGACTTTGAGCGCTAAAAGAATATATATGATATGGAAGTTTCATATATCTTAAATGATGAATAGAAAATTGATTTCTCTAGTCTTCAAACTTTGACTTCTTTTTATTGATGTGTTTGTCTTCATAAAAACTATAACCAAGGACAAGAAGAACTCTTCTTCACATCCTCTTCTACCAACACAATCGAGAAAATGTGTAGTAAATTTTTTTTAATTGAAATATGGCACGCCTGTGGTTTTCCCTTCGGTAGGGTCACTACGTCAGAAATGAGTTTTAGCAGCGCACCCTTTAGCAGCGTTTCTTAAAAAAGCGCTGCTAAAGGGTGGGTTAAAAAAAAAGAAAAAAAATTTCCTACCAAAGACAGCGCTTTTGAAAAAGCGCTGCTAAAGGGGGGCCCTAAGAAAGCGCTTTTTAAAAAGCGCTGCTAAAGGGGGGGGGGGGGGGTCTAAGAAAGCGCTTTTAAAAAGCGCTGCTAAAGGGGGACCTAAGAAAGCGCTTTTAAAAAGCGCTGCTAAAAGGGCCCCCTTTAGCAGCATTTTTTCTATAAAGCGCTGCTATATGGCATTGCTAAGCCACCCTAAGAAAGCGCTTTTAAAAGCGCTGCTAAAGGCCTTTAATAGCGCTGCTAAAGGGGGACATAAGAAAGCGCTTCTAAAAAGCGCTGCTAAAGGGGGCCCCTTTAGCAATGTTTTTTCTATAAAGCGCTGCTATATGGCATTGCTAAGGCACTCTAAGAAAGCGCTTTTAAAAGCGCTGCTAAAGGCCTTTAAAAGCGCTGCTATAGGTATTAGTATTATAATTTTAAAATACCCTCCAGAATTTTAAGAGAAACAGAACAGTCGTGCAATATTTCTTTTCTTCTTTCTTTCTTGTCTGACGAACGACCCATTCAAAGTTTCGTTTCTGTTGCCGTCATCCGCCGTCGACCGTCGCCCTGTTTTGTTGGATTGCGCCGCCGTCGCCGTTCACCGTCCGTTTTCGAGTCTGCATTGCATTACATTTCCACCATTGTTAAGGTATGTGAAGTTTTACTATGGTTTTCTTGTTTTTTTTTTCTTTTCACCATTGTTGGTATTTGAAGACATTAAAGGTTTTGAAGGTTTTTGTTAATACTGTTATCTAAATATTGATGGTTTTTCTTTTCACCATTGTTGGTATTTGATGGTTTTTCTAAATATTGAAGGTTTTTCTTAATAATTTTATCTAAATATTGATAGTTTGTGAGTTGTTGACTAAATAGGTAAGAAAAATTATTAATAATTCATAGTAAAATTATTAATGTTGTTTGATGGTTTCTTTGCATAAAATTATTAATGTTGTTGACTAAATATTGATGGTTTCTGAGTTATTGATGGTTTCTGAGCTGTTGTTGTTTTTATTGAGTTATTGAAGGTTTAGTGAAGGTTTTTAGTGTTGTTTTGTATTGAAGGTTTGAGGACATGCAAGTAAATTTGAGTTCAAGTATGATACGTATACTATTATTTTTGTTGTTGTGTAGATATGTTACGTTTGAGGACATGCAAGTAAATTTTAGTGTTGATACGTATACTGTTGTTGAGTTATTGTTTTTGTTGTTGAGTTCAAGTATGATACGTATATTGTTGTTTTGTATTGAAGGTTTGAGGACATGCAAGTAAATTTTAGTGTTGTTGTTGTGTAGAAATGACTTATTGAAGGTTTAGTGAAGGTTTTATAAGTTGATATGTTATTATATTATTATGATGGATTTCTCAATATTTATATGATATATATGTTATTATGGTTTTATATGTTTAGTTAGGATTTCTCAATGTTTAGTAAGGGTGTCATTTTGGTTTAAGGATTATCTAGTAATTTTAATATGATTTGTTTTGGTGGATTATCTAGTATTTTTAATATGATTTGTCTCGGTTAATTATTAATATGATTTTAATAAAATTTATATTTTGTCTGCTATAGGGGTTACCTGTGAAGAGCAAAGTTGTGATCGTTTCCAAGCATCCTATTGCGTAGCATTCTTAGAAGTTAGTGATTTCCTTACAGGTATTCTCTGTTTTGTTTAACTTTTATAGTTTAGTGTAGATTAGTCAATTAGTATGGATAAAAAATGGATGTCTGGTAATCGATTGTTAAAAGAGTACGAGAATGGGGTATCGAAGTTCGTTAAGTTTGCTGTTGAACACGCCAAAGACCCTAGTAGGATCACATGTCTTTGCTTAGGATGCTGTTATGGGCGTCGAGTTGACGCCGTTCAGTTGGAATCTCATTTAATGAGACATGGAATTGATCGAAGTTACACATGTTGGACATTACATGGTAAGATAAGTAACGAGAATGTTGAACCCCGGAATAATACGACATGTGCTTCAAAGGACAATGGCAGAGATACATATGATTGTGATCGAGTCAAAGAGATTGCAGAAGCACTTGAAGAAAATCTTCAAGATTGTCCCAAGATGTTTGAGAGGTTGGTAAGCGATGCAGAGAAACCGTTGTATAAAGGTTGCACTACTTTCACAAGATTGTCCGCGGTATTAAAGTTGTACAATTTAAAGGCGGGTAATGGATGGTCGAATAAAAGTTTCACAGAGTTGTTAGCCCTACTTCAAGAGATGCTTCCGGAGGATAATGTTCTTCCCAATCGAACCTATGAAGCTAAAAAAATGTTATTCTCTATTGGCATGAGCTATGATAAGATACATGCTTGTCCAAATGATTGCATTTTGTTTCAAAATGAATATGCATCATTAAACGAGTGTCCTAAATGCGGTGTATCTCGGTATAAGAAAAAATTGTGACCAGCAAAAGTATTATGGTATTTTCCTATAATTCCGAGATTCAGACGCATGTTTCATAGTGAAACAGATGCAAAACACCTGACTTGGCATGCAGATGATAGAATTGTAGATGGGAAGTATCGATATCCGGCAGATTCACCACAGTTGATGAAAATTGATAATGATTATCCTGATTTTGGAGAAGAAGCTAGAAACCTTCGCTTGGAATTATCGACTGATGGAATGAATCCGCATGGTCTGCAGAGTATCTCACATTCTACCTGGCCTGTAATTATTATGATTTATAACCTACCTCCATGGCTATGTATGAAGCGTAAGTACATGATGTTATCTATGTTAATTTCTGGCCCTATACAACCAGGGAATGACATAGACGTATACCTGACACCTCTAATCGAAGACTTAAAGAGTTTGTGGGAGAACGGTGTGGAGGTTTATGATGGATATAGGAAAGAAAGTTTCAATTTGAGGGCGATGTT